GGGGGGGGGGGGGGGGGTTTCGGAGAAAATAACATACGTATAATGATAACAGTTTATTCTCTTATTTTGTCAACTGCCACGATTAACTTTTTAAAGATATTTCTTGTAAACCTGTGAACTATCAAGTGATATGAGATTTTTAAAAATTCTAATAACATTTCTGTTCCGATTTCTGAAAAAAATCTTTTTACAATAATTGTTATCATTTAGATATAAAAAAATCTTTAAATTCAAAACTTTAAAATATGTGGTTTTAATATTAAATCATCTGGAAAACTATGTAATGTAGTTACAAAAAAAATGTCACCGCCAAACCGCAATATGAAAAAATACAAATAGTTGTGTTAAGAAGAACGAAATATGACAGTGAATTTCATTTCAAATTTCAAGTTCTGTCAATAAAAACTGTAAATTGTAAAAATGATAGAAAACGTTCATGTACGGATTTTAGTTGTCGTCGTGTGTTTGTTTGTTTTTGTGGGGGTTTTTGGTGGTTTTTCTCTGATATCCATGTTAGACTATTCTTTTGTTCTGTATGTTCCCAGCTACCACCTGCTCGTTTGACCATGGTCTCTGCGGATGGACACAGTCCACCACCGATACCATGAATTGGTCAGTTGGTCACGGTTCCACACCTAGCCGTAACACTGGACCTCATGCTGACCATGACAATAGCGCTTCCGGTAAGGATCTTGACATGTGCCATGAACATTTCTGTTTTGATATCTGATACCTCTATAAGCTATGTGGTCTACGCTAGAAAGTTAATAGAAGTATATCATGTGATGTCATAGTGCTACTGATAAGAGAACAGGACTAGGGCAGATTAAGCATTAGTTGTAATATACGTATACGTATGAAGTACGCAAATATGAAATTTCAAATTCGTTCGACAACTGGTTAAGGAGATATGACATTACAAAGAGAGACATAAACCCGTATTTTATGAGGCCAAAAAGGGCCTATAACGCCCAAAGTCCTATACCTGTGTGGAAAACAAGGACCATTCTTCCACTTTATATGCAGCTCTTGTATCTCTTGTATTAACGTTGAATTACACTGATTCACGCTACTACAGAGTCAGTACATACCTTCTCCTGGTATGTAGAGTATTGTAATGGCGTTTATTTTCAAGCTCTCATGCATTTGATTCCGTTGTCCAGCCCACTACTTGTTCTTGGAGTCCTCTCATCATTCCGCGCAGAGGGCAGTACTTATCTCACCTACTTACCCATCCGGGGACTATTGTTTCCGCCTATGGTACAATCTCAACGGTGCCGACATTGGCAGTTTCAAGATGTACTTCGTTCACGGGACTCATCGCGTCCTGATGCGTACAATCACCGGCAATCATAACGATATATGGCACCACGCTACTATGCACCTCAGGCTGTCTGGTTCCTCGACCTTCCACGTAAGTATTCATATTCTGGACAGAATTTCTGTTACCACGACCTTCCACGTCAGTATGGGTAGTCTGGGCAGACAGTCTAGTACCACGACCTTCCACGTAAGTATGGGTAGTCTGGACAGACAGTCTAGTACCACGCCCTTCCACGTAAGTATGGGTAGTCTGGACACACTGTTTGGTACATAGACCAACCACGTTAGTATGGGTAGTCTGGACAGACAGTCTAGTTCCACGACCTTCCACGTAAGTATGGGTAGTCGGGACAGACAGTCTAGTAGCACGACCTTCCACGTCAGTATGGGTAGTTTGGACAGACAGTCTAGTTCCACGACCTTCCACGTAAGTATGGGTAGTCTGCACAGCCAGTCTAGTACCCCGACCTTCCACGTCAGTATGGGTAGTCTGGGCAGACAGTCTAGTACCACGACCTTCCACGTACGTATGGGGAGTCTGGACAGACAGTCTAGTACCACGACCTTCCATGTCAGTATTGGTAGTCTGGACACACAGTCTAGTACCACGACCTTCCACGTAAGTATGGTTAGTCTGGACAGACAGTCTAGTACCACGACCTTCCATGTCAGTATTGGTAGTCTGGACACACAGTCTAGTACCACGCCCTTCCACGTCAGTATGGGTAGTCTGGACAGACTGTCTAGTACCACGACCTTCCACGTCAGTAGGGGTAGTCTGGACAGACAGTCTAGTACCACGCCCTTCCACGTAAGTATGGGTAGTCTGGACAGACTGTTTGGTACATAGACCAACCACGTTAGTATGGGTAGTCTGGACAGACAGTCTAGTAGAACGACCTTCCACGTCAGTATGGGTAGTCTGGACAGCCAGTTTAGTAGCACGACCTTCCACGTCAGTATGGGGAGTCTGGACAGACAGTCTAGTACCACGACCTTCCACGAAAGTATGGGTAGTCTGGACAGACAGTCTAGTACCACGACCTTCCATGTCAGTATGGGTAGTCTGGACAGACAGTCTAGTAGCACGCCCTTCCATGTCAGTATGGGTAGTCTGGACACACAGTCTAGTACTACAACCTTCCACGTAAGTATGGGTAGTCTGGGCAGACAGTCTAGTACCACGACCTTCCACGTCAGTAGGGGTAGTCTGGACAGACAGTCTAGTACCACAACCTTCCACGTAAGTACGGGTAGTCTGGACAGACTGTTTGGTACATAGACCAACCACGTTAGTATGGGTATTGTGGACAGGCGTTCTGGTACATCGACCTCCCAGGAAGTTTGGGTTCTCGTCCGAGTATTTTGAGAGCTTTTAAAAACAAAAAATATATAGGCACGTTGTTTTCCGGAACTAGATAACTTGACTTGACTTTTCAAATTAATTTTTCACAATTACTAAAATAAATCTGAATCAGTGATGATACTTTCTTACTTGTTACACATATTAAAGAAATGTTGATGTTTATTTCAGTTCGAGCTTGAAGGTACCACAGGCCACAGTTACCACGCAGACATGGCTATTGATGATGTTCAGGTCACTCCTGGTCAATGCACTCATTAGATATGTTGAAAATTGTTACATATTATTTATTGACAATAAAACTATTAATTTACTTTCTGTATATGTCTGGGGGGTTTTCTTCTTTTTCTTCTGATGAAATGATTATTTATTGAAATGAAATATATAATTGAAATATATTTCATATTTTGCTTCCGAACATTTAAATAAACACAGTAGCGAACATTTTATTGAACTTAATAATCAACTGATTAGTGTAAATTTGATTTAATTGATAATTAATACCTGGGCAAAATGAAACTGAGAAAATATTTTTATTGGATTATACTGTTTGTTTTTGCCTTTATTATGAAAACGAAACATCCCTAAGGTGTTTGATTTGACTCCAATCACCGAGGAGATATAATGTTGATTGCTTCATAAGAAGGTATAAACTAGATTAAAAAGGAACGTCTATTTGATCGTCTAAACGATTCCATACTCGGCGGGGCGCTTGATTTGTAAAGTCACGATCACTGAAACGCTTCTCGTGCTGCATCCAATTTCCATGCTATTTGTTAATAGTATCTGCCCACGTGAAATTATTTCCTGGTTCGCTATGTATTCTTGTAACATCAACCTTGAAAACAGTCATTTTTCCGTATGAAGAGTTTGCCTTTTCCGTCTGTGCGTTAATCCGACTGTCCGAACTATAGCAGAAGTCAAACGGTCGACAAACTCCACTTTTGCATTCATTTGCGGTCACTGTGACCTAATTTTCTATTTCACATATTTTGATTGGACTCTGCAGTTACCACTATCTCATTAGTAATACATTTCGTTTAGATTCAATGGGCATACTCATCTGTGCTTTATAAACATGTTCTTATCCTTATTGATACGGAGCATTAGTTTTAGTTTAAGTCCCATGTTTACATTTCACATTCAAAATATGAAAGGCTGATTCGTTTCTTTTAAACGTGTTGCTGGTACATTGAATATTGATCTTCTGCTCAGATTCAAGTATATGCGTATACATACAAGCCAACCCTTATTACTCAACAACAGACAGAGACATACACAGGAATAGTCATACTGTATAATTAATATAATTATCCTATTAAGGTATCGGTTGGTATCTCTTAAATAAATGTCAGCAAACCAGGTCACACAACTCTCTTTATACACTGGAAAATGTCTAACTAGTTACTCACCGTAACTCACCGTTGTCGACGTCATACCATTTGTCTAAGAGTTCTATTGACGCGTCTACTTGTGTTAAACTCCCGGTCTGTACCTCCCGATCTGTAGCATGCAGGTAACCATAGCATTAACACTAAAATACAAATAGGAAAATACCTATTAAAAAATGTCACAATATCGATGCAGAAAGCCACACATAGTAAATATTTACTTCACAATATGGCCACAGGGTCCATTAAGGAATCGACAGTGGTACTAAAGATCAAAAGAATGAAATTTCAGAAGATATTTCTTGATTGTTACAAAACACATGTAGAACAGAAACGGAAATCGTGGGGGAAACTCATTATAATGTTACAAATATTTTGGCTGCTACATAAGATGATTTATTAACTGTTTGGGTTGATAATCTTAATACTGCAAAACAAATATTAATCTTGTCGCCTTTTTAATATATAGCCTTGTATTAAGAGGGGAAAATGACGACACCGTCCGTTTAATGGAATTTTCTCTTCTTTCTAACAGCGCTCACTCATAAAATGCCATTTCACGTACACACATGTTGTATAAAATAAAACGTAGACTGGCGATACCTTCTCAAAGAAAAACGTGTTATAGTTTATGACCGATACTTTTAAAGATCAAGTTTTCTTACGCCGGAAGTTGTAATTAACTTGCCTACGCAAGCGCTGCACACTGTTAAAAGTTCATCACATACCAACGGTACTGGACTAGTAGTCAACCTATATGTTACTTAAGTTTGGTTAGACCACCATACTTGAATAAGGTTGGAACAGTGGGCCGTTGGGACGTGCACTATCTCACCTTCAAGGACAAATACGTCATAGATATCAAAACCATGTCAGTCACGATTTCTTTGTGTGTCAGCTATTCAGTAATGCGGACTGTCAGGACAAATTATTATGGTCAATGAGAACACTTTTTGGGATTTTTACCCCTTGTCAGGACAACTCATTATAGTCAATGAACACATTTTGAAACACTTAAGGGATTTTCATCCCCTTCATCCCTAATGAGTGTATATTGCGGCCACTTTGTTTCAATGCATCCTTTACCAAATTCTGGTAAATTACTTCCGATATCCTTAATGTTTCGTTAAGAAACTTCAAAGATGTTCTTGTCACGAATAGAGACCCTACATAACAAGGTCATAGTGATGGTCAAAGGTCAAACCGTGCATATCTAGGTTCTACCTTACGATACAGCATTAAAAGATCTTTACCAAGGTTTGTAGATATGCGTGTCATGCCTAGAAGGCATGTCACGTAACACATACAAGTTCGTATCGTAAAGGTTAGGGTCAAGGCTAGAAGGGTCAAAGGTCAAGTTATGCTTTTCCGCACTGCATCTTCTGTAAGCCTATTGCAAAATTATGGCAAGGGGCCAAAGGTCAAGTCTTCATTTCTTTTTAACAACGAAATTTATGATAACCTCAAGACATTACAAACTCAGTGCGTATCCCAGGGATCAGTTTAATATGTTTATGGTGACTTTTGGGCAGAAACACCATCATAAAGTGTCTCTACTGTAAAGTGACAATACTACCAATCGTCTATAGTACACAGTGACAACAGTGTCTAACCTTACAAAACCAAACAGTGACTTCTGGGCAGTAACGGCATCAGAAAGTGTCTCTACTGTAAAGTGACAATACTACCACTCGAGTATAGTACACAGTGACAACGGTGTCTAACCTTACAATACCAAACTATGAATTCTGGTCAGTAACAGCATCAGAAAGTGTCAATACTGTAAAGTGACAATACTACCACTCGAGTATAGTACACAGTGACAACGGTGTCTAACCTTACAATACCAAACTATGTCTTCTGGTCAGTAACAGCATCAGAAAGTGTTTCTACTGTAAAGTGACAATACTAACAATCGACTATAGTACACAGTGACAACAGTTTCTAACCTTACAATACCAAACTATGAATTCTGGTCAGTAACAGCATCAGAAAGTGTCGCTACTGTAAAGTGACAATACTACCACTCGAGTATAGTACACAGTGACAACGGTGTCTAACCTTACAATACCAAACTATGTCTTCTGGTCAGTAACAGCATCAGAAAGTGTCGCTACTGTAAAGTGACAATACTACCACTCGAGTATAGTACACAGTGACAACAGTGTCTAACCTTACAATACTAAACTATGACTTCTGGTCAGTAACAGCATCAGAAAGTGTCAATACTGTAAAGTGACAATACTACCACTCGAGTATAGTACACAGTGACAACGGTGTCTAACCTTACAATACCAAACAGTGACTTCTGGGTAGTAAAAGCATCATAATGTGTCTCTACTGTAAAGTGACAACACTACCAATCGAGTATAGTACACAGTGACAACGGTGTCTAACCTTACAATACCAAACTATGAATTCTGGTCAGTAACAGCATCAGAAAGTGTCGCTACTGTAAAGTGACAATACTACCACTCGAGTATAGTACACAGTGACAACGGTGTCTAACCTTACAATACCAAACAGTGACTTCTGGGCAGAAACCTCATCAGAAAGTGTCTCTACTGTACAGTGACAATACTACCAATAGTCTTTAATACACAGTGCCAACAGTGTCTATACTTACAATACCACACAGTGACTTCTGGGCAGTAACAGTATCATAAAGTGTCTCTACTGTTAAGTGACAATACTACCAATAGTCTTTAATCCACAGTGACGACAGTGTCTATACTTACAATACCAAACCGTGACTTCTGGGCAGTAAAAGCATCATAATGTGTCCCTAGTGTAAAGTGACAATACTACCAATAGTCTTTAATACACAGTGCCAACAGTGGCTATACTTACAATACCAAACAGTTACTTCTGGGCAGTAACAGCATTAGAAAGTGTCTCTACTGTAAAGTGGCAATACTACCAATAGTCTTTAATACACAGTGCCAACAGTGTCTACACTTACAATACCAAACAGTGACTTCTGGGCAGTACAGTATCATAAAGTGTCTCTACTGTAAAGTGGCAATACTACCAATAGTCTTTAATCCACAGTGACGACAGTGTCTATACTTACAATACCATACAGTGACTTCTGGGCAGTAACAGCATTAGAAAGTGTCTCTACTGTAAAGTGACAATACTGACAACAGTGTCTAACCTTACAATACTAAACTATGACTTCTGGTCAGTAACAGCATCAGAAAGTGTCACTACTGTAAAGTGACATACTACCAATAGTCTTTAGTCCACAGGGACAACAGTGTCTAACCTTACAAAACCAAACAGTGACTTCTGGGCAGAAACACGATCAGAAAGTGTCTCTACTGTAAACCAATAGTCTTTAATACACAGTGCCAACAGTGTCTATCCTTACAATACCAAACAGTGACTTCTGGGCAGAAACACGATCAGAAAGTGTCTCTACTGTAAACCAATAGTCTTTAATACACAGTGCCAACAGTGTCTACACTTACAATACCAAACAGTGACTTCTGAGCAGTAAAAGCATCATAATGTGTCCCTAGTGTAAAGTGACAATACTACCAATCGTCTATAGTACACAGTGACAACAGTTTCTAACCTTACAAAACCAAACAGTGACTTATGGGCAGTAACAGTATCATAAAGTGTCTCTACTGTAAAGTGGCAATACTACCAATAGTCTTTAGTACACAGTGACAACAGTGTCTATACTTACAATACCAAACAGTTACTTCTGGGCAGTAACAGCATTAGAAAGTGTCTCTACTGTAAAGTGGCAATACTACCAATAGTCTTTAATACACAGTGCCAACAGTGTCTACACTTACAATACCAAACAGTGACTTCTGGGCAGAAACACGATCAGAAAGTGTCTCTACTGTAAACCAATAGTCTTTAATACACAGTGCCAACAGTGTCTATACTTACAATACCACACAGTGACTTCTGG